AGAGCAGACGGGGCCTTTCTGTGTGGAGTTTGCATATTCTTGCCGTGTCTGTGTAGGTTTCCTCGAGGTGCTCCGGTTTCCCCTACCACTAAAAACATATACAATAGATTGGACTTGTACCTCCTGTAATGGCCCCTCCCATCTCTGTGTGGACAAACGCCCACAACAATTGTAAACCGCTTTGTGACTCTGGTCTGTGAAAAGCTCTATATGAATAAACAGTACTTCCTCTTCCCTGTATCGTGTCTCGTGATCGAGGTGTATGAAGAAAATCCGGGCATTTTTCCAAATAAATCATTGTTCAGTCTTATTATTTTTCTTGCGACGTGGTTTTGAACGTCCCATGGTCCAGTACCAGGCAGATCAGTCTTTGACCTTCTTATAGATATATAAAAAATGTATATTTGCTTTAGCTGTATTTCAAACTAGAATTGAATACTTTAAAGAAAATACCGGGAGCAGAGTGGTCTCGGAGTCAGAGCTGTCTCTGTCGCGGTGCTGATGTCAAACCAAAGTTTCATTTTATATTTTGTTGTTCGTTCGAGCGGAAGAAGTGCATTTGGAGTCTGAACGCCTTCACGGTTGACATCGTCACGGTCCAGTGCAGTGTCCAGTCTGCGGCAGAAGGCACCGGTGATAACCCCCTCCCTCCACAGTGGTCTGGGCCTGGGTCAGGAACATAGACTGTAAATATTAGCAGACGTGGTGAGGCCTATTTTCCCTGTGGAAATATGTGTGAAGATCACAGGCCGATTCATTCAAAATGGCCGCAATTAGCCCCTCCCTCAGAAAAACCGTTTAGGAGCTGAGGCTTATTTATTTGTGTGTTAACAGCACGAGACTGACACATGGAGTTCATTTAACAAGTGCATTCAAAAGTCCACAGCGGCTAAACTAGGCTGGTCCAAAAAAAAACACTCCCCATCCAGGACCATAATGTAACGCCGTTTTATTAGAATAAAAATGGCGGCATGTTTCTGGGTATACCAAAAAAAAAAACAGTGATTCAAATACTGAGTTATGTTCATCCATCCATCCATCCATTTTCTTCCGCTTTATCCGTTGCCGGGTCGCGGGGGCAGCAGTCTAAGCAGAGACGCCCAGACTTCCCTATCCACACACACCTCCTCCAGCTCGTCCGGGGGGACCCCAAGGCGTTCCCAGGCCAGCTGAGAGACATAGTCTCTCCAGCGTGTCCTGGGTCTTCCCCGGGGCCTCCTCCCGGTGGGACGTGCCCGGAACACCTCCCCAGGAAGGCGTCCAGGAGGCATCCTGAACAGATGCCCGAGCCACCTCAACTGGTTCCTCTCGACGTGGAGAAGCAGCGGCTCTACTCCGAGCTCCTCCCGTGTGACCGAGCTCCTCACCCTATCTCTAAGGGAGCGCCCAGCCACTCTGCGGAGGAAGCTCATTTCGACCGCTTGTATCCGCGATCTCGTTCTTTCGGTCATTACCCACAGCTCATGACCATAGGTGAGGGAGGGAACGAAGATTGACCGGTAAATCGAGAGCTTTGCCTTTCGGCTCAGCTCCCTCTTTACCACAACGGTCCGATACAGCGACCGCATCACTGCGCACGCTGCACCGATCCGCCTGTCAATCTCACGCTCCATCCTTCCCTCACTCGTGAACAAGACCCCGAGATACTTGAACTCCTCCACTTGAGGAAGGACCTCTCCACCCACCTGCAGAGGGCAAGGCACCTTTTTCCGGTCGAGCACCATGGCCTCGGATTTGGAGGTGCTGATTCTCATCCCAGCCGCTTCGCACTCGGCTGCAAACCGTCCCAGTGCATGCTGCAGGTCCTGGTTCGTTGGAGCCAGCAGGACGACATCATCCGCAAAAAGTAGAGATGAAATCCTGTGGTCTCCGAACCGGACCCCCTCCGGCCCCTGGCTGCGCCTAGAAATTCTGTCCATAAATACAGTGAACAGAACCGGTGACAAAGGGCAGCCTTGGCGGAGGCCAACATGCACCGGGAACAGGTCTGACTTACTGCCGGCAATGCGAACACAGCTCTGACTCCGGTCATACAGGGACCGGACGGCCCTCAGCAGAGGACCCCGGACCCCGTACTCCCGGAGGACCCCCCAAAGGACACCCCGGGGAACACGGTCGAACGCCTTCTCCAAATCCACAAAGCACATGTGGACAGGTTGGGCGAACTCCCATGAACCCTTGAGTATCCGATGGAGAGTATAGAGCTGGTCCAGTTTTCCTCGACCGGGACGAAAACCACACTGCTCCTCCTGAATCCGAGATTTGACCATCGGACGTAGCCTCCTCTCCAGTACCTTGGAGTAGACCTTACCGGGGAGGCTGAGGAGTGTGATCCCACGATAATTGGAACACACCCTCCGGTCCCCCTTCTTGTAGAGAGGGACCACCACCCCGGTCTGCCACTCCATTGGTACCGCCCCCGATCGCCACGCGATGCTGCAGAGACGTGTCAGCCAAGACAGTCCTACAACATCCAGAGACTTTAGATAGTCAGGACGGATCTCATCCACTCCCGGCGCCTTGCCACCATGGAGGCTGCCAACCACCTTGGTGACCTCGGCCAGGGAGATGTAAGTATCCGCCCCAACATCCTCAGCCTCTGCCTCCTGGACGGAGGACGTGACGGGGGGATTGAGGAGAACCTCGAAGTATTCCTTCCACCGCCCGACAATATCCCCAGTTGAGGTCAGCAGCCCTCCACCCGCACCATACACGGTGTTGGCAAAGAACTGCTTCCCCCTCCTGAGGCGCCGGACGGTTTGCCAGAACCTCTTCGAGGCCGACCGATAGTCATGCTCCATGGACTCTCCGAACTCCTCCCAGTCCCGGGTTTTTGCCTCTGCAACAGCCCGGGCCGCGGCACGTTTGGCCTGCCGGTACTGGACAGCTGCCTCAGGAGTCCCACGAACCATCATTGCTCGATAGGACTCCTTCTTCAGCCTGACGGCATCCCTTACTGCCGGTGTCCACCACCGGGTTCGGGGATTGCCGCCGGGACCAGCACCAGAGACCTTGCGACCACAGCTACGAGCCGCCGCATTGACGATAGAGGAAGAGAACATGGTCCACTCGGACTCGATGTCCCCCTCCTCTGCCGGGACCTGGGAGAAGCTCTCCCGGAGGTGTGAGTTGAAAGTCCGTCTGACAGGGGGCTCAGCAAGACGTTCCCAGCAAACCCTCACTACACGCTTGGGCCTGCCAGGTCTGACCGGCCTCCTGCCCTGCCAGCGGATCCAACTCACGACCAGGTGATGATCGGTTGACAGCTCCGCCCCTCTCTTCACCCGAGTGTCCGAGACACGCGGTCGAAGGTCAGATGATACGACAACAAAGTCGATCATCGACCTCCGGCCTAGGGTGTCCTGGTGCCACATGCACTGATGGACACCCTTGTGCTCGAACATGGTGTTCGTGATGGACAGGCCGTGACTGGCACAGAAGTCCAACAACTGAACACCGCTCGGGTTCAGATCAAGGGGGCCGTTCTTCCCGATCACCCCTCTCCAAGTGTCACTGGCATTTCCCACATGGGCGTTGAAGTCCCCCAGGAGAATAACGGAGTCCCCGGGCGGTGCACTGTCCAGTACCCCTCCCAAGGACTCCAAGAAGGCCGGGTACTCTGCACTACCGTTAGGCCCGTAGGCCGTCACAACAGTGAGAGACTTGTCCCCCACCCGGAGGCGGAGGGACGCGACCCGGGTGGGGAGAACACCGGGGAGAACTCCAACACGTGGCGGCTGAGATGGGGGGCAATGAGTATGGCCACCCCAGCTCGCCGCCTCTCCCCGCGGGAAACCCCAGAAAAGTGGAGCGTCCAACCCCTCTCAAGGAGTTGGGTTCCAGAGCCCAAGCTGTGTGTGGAGGTGAGGCCGACTATCTCTAGTCGGTATCGCTCAACCTCCCCCACAAGCTCGGGCTCCTTCCCCCCCAGTGAGGTGACGTTCCACGTCCCAAGAGCCAGATGTTGGGTGTGTGGACTGGGTCGTCGAGGTCTCCGCCTTCGACTGCTGCCCAGTCCTCTCTGCACCTCGCCACCACGGACCCCTCTGCAGGTGGTGGGCCCACAGGAGGGACTGCCCACGTCATCCCTTCGGGCTGAGCCCGGCCGGGCCCCGTGGGCTAAGGCCCGGCCACCAGGCGCTCGCTTGCGAGCCCCGACCCCAGGCCTGGCTCCAGGGTGGGGCCCCGGCTGCGCCATGCCGGGCGACGTCACGGTTCTCATTGTTGTGCTGTCCATGGTTGGCTTCGGACTGCGCTTCGTCTGACTCGTCACTTGAGACCTGTCTGCCATGGGAGACCCTACCAGGGGCATGAAGCCCCAGACAGCATAGCTCCCAGGATCATCCGAGTGCTCAAACTCCCCCACCACGTTAAGGTGGCAGTCCAAGGGGGGAGGAGTTATGTTCATTAATCTCCTATTTAAACACGACAAGAAAAACCAAACCACATTTTAGATTTTGGACCCGTGTTTAAATTGAGCTGTTGCATCGACCACAAAACCAAACAGTGGCTCTTCATGGAATCAACCACATTTCAAACACAAGCATTTAGCATTTACCCTTCTGCCTCCGGTCGCTGCTACAGGAGTCTCCGGGCCAGGACCAGGAGCAAGGAGACAGTTTTTTTTATCACAGAGCAGTCACACTCCTGAACTCTCAACCTATTACAGCCCATTACATGCACTTTAATGTAATGTAATAATTATTAATGTGTATATACATTAATAATACTAGCAATAGCAGCGTGTACAGTCTCCCATATAGCCAATTATACTTATGTGTGTTGTAAATATTATCCTATACTTGTTCTATCGCACTGGTTAGAGGCTAAACTGCATTTCATTGCATCGTTCTGACTTTGTAATGACAATAAAGTTTAATCAAATCTAATCTAATCATGTGTGGTCTCACTTCAACTCCATCCTCTTTCTTTCCAGTTAAAGCTCTATTTGCAACTTCAGGTTGTGCCGGAGCTTTAGTCAATTTACCGCTTATTTTACCTCAGGTTCCGGGTTCTAGTTGGTTGCTATGGTTGCCGGAGGGTTGCTTGATGGTTGCTAGATGGTTGCCGGAGGGTTGCTTGATGGTTGCTAGATGGTTGCCGGATGGTTGCTGGATGGTTGCTGAAGGGTTTCCAGATGGTTGCTGAATGGTTGCCAGATGGTTGCTGGATGGTTGCCAGATGGTTGCTGGATGGTTGCCGGATGGTTGCCGGGTGGTTGCAGAATGGTTGCTGGATGGTTGCCGGATGGTTGCTTGATGGTTGCTGAATAGTTGCCAGATGGTTGCTTGATGGTTGCTGAATGGTTGCTGGATGGTTGCCGGATGGTTGCTGGATGGTTGCCGGATGGTTGCTTGATGGTTGCTGAATGGTTGCCAGATGGTTGCTGGATGGTTGCCGGATGGTTGCAGAATGGTTGCCGGATGGTTGCCGGATGGTTGCAGAATGGTTGCCGGATGGTTGCAGAATGGTTGCCGGATGGTTGCCGGATGGTTGCCGGATGGTTGCTGGATGGTTGCCGGATGGTTGCTGAATGGTTGCCAGATGGTTGCTGAATGGTTGCCAGATGGTTGCTTGATAGTTGCCGGATGGTTGCTTGATGGTTGCTGAATGGTTGCCAGATGGTTGCTTGATGGTTGCTGAATGGTTGCCAGATGGTTTCTGAATGGTTGCCAGATGGTTGCTGGATGGTTGCCGGATGGTTGCCGGATGGTTGCTGGATTGTTGCTGGATGGTTGCTTGATGGTTGCTGAATGGTTGCCGGATGGTTGCTTGATGGTTGCCAAATGGTTGCCGGATGGTTGCCGGATGGTTGCTGGATGGTTGCCGGATGGTTGCTTGATGGTTGCCAGATGGTTGCTGGATGGTTGCCGGATGGTTGCTGGATGGTTGCCAGATGGTTGCTGGATGGTTGCTGGATGGTTGCCGGGTGGTTTCCGGATGGTTGCTGGATTGTTGCTGGATGGTTGCTTGATGGTTGCTGAATGGTTGCCGGATGGTTGCTTGATGGTTGCCAAATGGTTGCCGGATGGTTGCCGGATGGTTGCTGGATGGTTGCCGGATGGTTGCTTGATGGTTGCCAGATGGTTGCTGGATGGTTGCCGGATGGTTGCTGGATGGTTGCCAGATGGTTGCTGGATGGTTGCTGGATGGTTGCCGGGTGGTTTCCGGATGGTTGCTGGATCTATAGTCATTTTCTCTTGGGCCCCGGATCCTGGACCTACAGCCACATCGTTGTCAATGAAGTATGATTAATAATTACATTTGGAGCCACAAAAAGTGAGAGACACTTTTGTAATTCTTTCACAACCTCCTGATTTGATTGAAATAGTCTGAAGTTAAATCCTCTGCAGATAAACACATGTTGTTGAGTCAAACTGGAGGATTGTGTCACTGTCTGTGGGTTTGTGTAGTTGTGTTGTTCAATCTATCTTTATTTTTAGAGCGCCTTTCCTACACAGGGCAACACAACGAGCTTCCCAGTTCACATCACATAAGACAAACACAAAAATAACTTTTCAAAACACAAGTCAAATCACTCAGGTGAAGACATAAAAACATTAAAATCACACCTAATTAAAAACATTAAAATGGTGTGTGGTCTAAAATGTGTGCGTCTAACCGTGTGTGTTGTGTGCTCAGCAGTGGGAGGTCATGTGTCTCCGAGCAGCGAGGCGCTCCTCAGTCCCTCCGCGCAGCCCGCATCTCCGCCCCCCAGCCTGTACCTGCCCGCTCACTTCAGGCTGTCGCAGGCGCAGCTGGCTTTCTTCCTGCGGGAGGCGGGCGGCGGCGACAGGGCGTCCCAGCCGCTGCAGCGATCCCAGAGCCTGGTGGTGTTCCAGACCAAAGAGCTGCCGTCCGTCAACATCACTTTCGGGACGTTTGCTCGAGACCTGGTCCTGGGCCGCGAGCTGCTGCAGCCCGCCAGCCCGCTCGCCATCCCCGGGACCCTCACGGTCAACTGGAAAGTGCGGGCCTTCATCGTACAGGCCAGGGTCTTCTCCTCCAGCCCCACCCTGCAGGTCAGAGCAACACATTACAACACACACAACAATACACCCTGCAGGTCGGAGCAACACAACACACACTACAACACACACTGCAGGTCGGAGCAACACAACACAGTACAACACACACACCAAGCCGATCGAAGCACCAAGACATACACTACACATACACACACTACAACACAATACACAGGTCAACACAACACAGACACCACAACGCACTCACACATTCACCTGGACTAGAGCCACACAATTAATTTATATATGTTTAACCTCTTTTCCTCCGCACCAGGGGACTTCCATTGTTCAAGGATAAATCTACATGGACTTTAAGGCTAGGATGCTTCACACAAGTGTGTGATGTGTTTTTAAGACACTTGTGTATGTACGACCTTTGTGTGTGCTGAATGGAAAGTCACATTTTGTAAAAAATCTTTAGAGACATAGAAAATAAAGAGATTTTAAATGTATTTTTTTCTCATTGGGAAACATTTCATATATCAATCCCAAACTGAACTGAAAGGATGTAGGCAGAGAAAAAGTTCGACTGCACTAGGCTAACACCTGAAAAATAATCCACTTAGTACCAGGACATGTTTTGTATCTTAAAAGTGAAAGTAAAAGTAAACATCTGGTGCAGGTCTTCTTCTACATCGCTGGGAGGGACTGGGACGACTTCCGCGCCCAGGACCGGCTCCCGTGCGTTCGCCTCCATGCCTTCAGGGACGTGCGGGAGATCCAGACCTCGTGCCGCATGCGGGGGAACCTGGCCCAGTGCCTGGCCCAGTTGGACCTGCCCCAGTCCTGGTTCAACGCCCAAGTGGCCCCGCTGGGTCGTCGCAAGGGCCCGAGCCTGGAGGGCCTGAGCGAGAGCATGCAGGCCGAGCTCTACTACAGCCTGAGCGAGGCCGGGCAGGACGGGGGCTGTGCCGAGGCCCACCGCGGGGGTCCTGGCCCGGCTCAGCACCCTCTGCTCCGGATCGGCAGCATCAGTCTGTACCAGGCTGGACCGGAGCAGCAGCTGGTGGACAAGCAGCTGGATAAAAACATGTTCCTGAGGCTCCCAGACCGACCACTGAGGCCCGGGGACCAACTGAGGATCTACCTGTACCTCATGCCCAACTCCTCGGTGGACCACTTCACGCTACGGTAGGAACAGCAATGGTTTCTGTACGCACACCGTCTGTTGGGACGCGATGCTTTCTGTACGCACACCGTCTGTTGGGACGCACTGCTTTCTGTACGCACACCTTCTGTTGGGACGCCCTGGTTTCTGTACGCACACTGTCTGTTGGGACGCGCTGGTTTCTGTACGCACACCTTCTGTTGGGACGCGCTGGTTTCTGTACGCACACCGTCTGTTGGGACGCGATGCTTTCTGTACGCACACCGTCTGTTGGGACGCACTGCTTTCTGTACGCACACCTTCTGTTGGGACGCGCTGGTTTCTGTACGCACACGTTCTGTTGGGACGCGCTGGTTTCTGTACGCACACCTTCTGTTGGGACGCGCTGGTTTCTGTACGCACACCTTCTGTTGGGACGCGCTGGTTTCTGTACGCACACCTTCTGTTGGGACGCGCTGGTTTCTGTACGCACACCTTCTTTTGGGACGCGCTGGTTTCTGTACGCACACCTTCTTTTGGGACGCGCTGGTTTCTGTACGCACACCTTCTGTTGGGACGCGCTGGTTTCTGTACGCACACCTTCTGTTGGGACGCGCTGGTTTCTGTACGCACACCTTCTGTTGGGACGCGCTGGTTTCTGTACGCACACCTTCTGTTGGGACGCGCTGGTTTCTGTACGCACACCTTCTGTTGGGACGCGCTGGTTTCTGTACGCACACCTTCTGTTGGGACGCGCTGGTTTCTGTACGCACACCTTCTTTTGGGACGCGCTGGTTTCTGTACGCACACCTTCTGTTGGGACGCGCTGGTTTCTGTACGCACACCTTCTTTTGGGACGCGCTGGTTTCTGTACGCACACCTTCTTTTGGGACGCGCTGGTTTCTGTACGCACACCTTCTGTTGGGACGCGCTGGTTTCTGTACGCACACCTTCTTTTGGGACGCGCTGGTTTCTGTACGCACACCTTCTGTTGGGACGCGCTGGTTTCTGTACGCACACCTTCTGTTGGGACGCGCTGGTTTCTGTACGCACACCTTCTGTTGGGACGCGCTGGTTTCTGTACGCACACCTTCTGTTGGGACGCGCTGGTTTCTGTACGCACACCTTCTGTTGGGACGCGCTGGTTTCTGTACGCACACCTTCTGTTGGGACGCGCTGGTTTCTGTACGCACACCTTCTGTTGGGACGCGCTGGTTTCTGTACGCACACCTTCTGTTGGGACGCGCTGGTTTCTGTACGCACACCTTCTGTTGGGACGCGCTGGTTTCTGTACGCACACCTTCTGTTGAGACGCACTGGTTTCTGTACGCACACCTTCTGTTGGGACGCGCTGGTTTCTGTACGCACACCTTCGGTTGGGACGCGCTGGTTTCTGTACGCACACCTTCTGTTGGGACGCGCTGGTTTCTGTACGCACACCTTCTGTTGGGACGCGCTGGTTTCTGTACGCACACCTTCTGTTGGGACGCGCTGGTTTCTGTACGCACACCTTCTGTTGGGACGCGCTGGTTTCTGTACGCACACCTTCTGTTGGGACGCGCTGGTTTCTGTACGCACACCTTCTGTTGGGACGCGCTGGTTTCTGTACGCACACCTTCTGTTGGGACGCGCTGGTTTCTGTACGCACACCTTCTGTTGGGACGCGCTGGTTTCTGTACGCACACCTTCTGTTGGGACGCGCTGGTTTCTGTACGCACACCTTCTGTTGGGACGCGCTGGTTTCTGTACGCACACCTTTTTAGCATGTTTTGTTGCTAGAGAAGAGGGTCCCATGTTCGGGAGAGTGGGACAGCCCCCTCGACCTCGTTCATCGTCTCCGTCTCTGCTTTGATCCAGCGTTTTGTATGTGTTTAGATCCTGACTGATGATTCTTGTGTTGTCCCAGTCCATGAAAAGGTTTATATAATAGTTTATCTAATATTGTCAGTTTCAAATCGTCCTCTTGCACCTTCTGTCTTCTTGTTATGGTCAGTCTCGTTGTGGTCCCTCTTTGACATGTCTTTCTTATTGTGAGAAAGAGACCAATACTTATCTCTTTGTTAGTCATTGTTCTGGGCCAGGTCTGGTGCGTTACCGGTTTGCAGCTAACAGCAGCTAACAGCAGCTAACGGCACCGGACAGCAGCTAACGGCAACTAACAGCAGCTAACGGCACCCGACAGCACCCGACAGCAGCTAACGGCAGCTATCTGGGATTTTTAGAGGAAATGAAAGGGGAGCTAAAGCGAAAAATGATTCTGATGGAGAAGAATCAAAAGACTATACAGGAGGGCAATAAAACTAGAGTGGCCTCGTGTTGTAGTTTAATCATTAATTTTTACACTTTTTACAGAGAGGTGGGACTTCTGGTAAAAATCACCAAAAATGTATGTCAGTAGAAGTTATTCAGTTGTTGAGATGAGGGAGGTGAGGGAGATGAGGGAGATGAGGGAGATGAGGGAGATGAGCGAGATGAGCGAGATGAGCGAGATGAGCGAGATGAGCGAGATGAGCGAGATGAGCGAGATGAGCGAGATGAGGGAGGTGAGCGAGATGAGGGAGGTGAGCGAGATGAGGGAGGTGAGCGAGATGAGCGAGATGAGCGAGATGAGCGAGGTGAGGGAGGTGAGGGAGGTGAGCGAGATGAGCGAGATGAGGGAGGTGAGCGAGATGAGCGAGATGAGCGAGGTGAGGAAGGTGAGGGAGATGAGCGAGATGAGGGAGATGAGCGAGATGAGGGAGGTGAGGGAGATGAGCGAGATGAGGGAGATGAGCGAGATGAGGGAGGTGAGCGAGATGAGGGAGATGAGCGAGGTGAGGAAGGTGAGGGAGATGAGCGAGATGAGGGAGGTGAGGAAGGTGAGGGAGATGAGCGAGATGAGGGAGGTGAGGAAGGTGAGGGAGGTGAGCGAGGTGAGGAAGGTGAGGGAGATGAGCGAGATGAGGGAGATGAGCGAGATGAGGGAGGTGAGGGAGATGAGCGAGATGAGGGAGATGAGCGAGATGAGGGAGATGAGCGAGATGAGGGAGGTGAGCGAGATGAGGGAGATGAGCGAGGTGAGGGAGGTGAGCGAGATGAGGGAGGTGAGCGAGATGAGCGAGATGAGCGAGGTGAGGAAGGTGAGGGAGATGAGCGAGATGAGGGAGGTGAGGAAGGTGAGGGAGATGAGCGAGATGAGGGAGGTGAGGAAGGTGAGGGAGGTGAGCGAGGTGAGGAAGGTGAGGGAGATGAGCGAGATGAGGGAGGTGAGCGAGATGAGGGAGGTGAGGAAGGTGAGGGAGATGAGCGAGATGAGCGAGGTGAGGAAGGTGAGGGAGGTGAGCGAGATGAGCGAGATGAGGGAGATGAGCGAGGTGAGGAAGGTGAGGGAGATGAGCGAGATGAGCGAGATGAGGGAGGTGAGGGAGATGAGCGAGATGAGGGAGATGAGCGAGATGAGGGAGGTGAGCGAGATGAGGGAGATGAGCGAGGTGAGGGAGGTGAGCGAGATGAGGGAGGTGAGCGAGATGAGCGAGATGAGCGAGGTGAGGAAGGTGAGGGAGATGAGCGAGATGAGGGAGGTGAGCGAGATGAGGGAGGTGAGGAAGGTGAGGGAGATGAGCGAGATGAGGGAGGTGAGCGAGATGAGTGAGGTGAGGAAGGTGAGGGAGATGAGCGAGATGAGCGAGATGAGGAAGGTGAGGGAGGTGAGCGAGATGAGGGAGGTGAGGGAGATGAGCGAGATGAGGGAGGTGAGCGAGATGAGCGAGATGAGCGAGGTGAGGAAGGTGAGGGAGATGAGCGAGATGAGCGAGATGAGGGAGGTGAGCGAGATGAGCGAGATGAGGGAGGTGAGGAAGGTGAGGGAGATGAGCGAGATGAGGAAGGTGAGGAAGGTGAGGGAGGTGAGCGAGATGAGGGAGGTGAGGGAGATGAGCGAGATGAGGGAGGGATGGATCCATCTTCTCTGCATGTTTTTAAAAGAAAACTCAAATATCTGTGAATGGCATCATTTTAATGCATTACTTTGTGGCACACTCTTACTACTTACTGATCTATGCTTTTAATATGATGGCAATGAATTAATGAATGTATTGTTCTATTTTATTATTTTCATTTTTTGTAATACATTTGTCTTATCTGGGACCCCACATTGGTGCAATCTAATGTGGATCCCCAATACACACTCCCACAGATGCACAGCTGTAGATCCCGGACTCAGAAATAAGATAGTAACAGCAATAGCACAATAACACATCGTCTGAGGAGTCGTCGCAGTGTAACAACTTAGAAACTGGAGCATTGAGACAGATGGTGCGGGGGGATGCGTGAATACATCATTATAAAAGTTACCAACAATAGTCATAAAGTTCACTGCGGAGGTGGTGAGGTTGATGTAGGCAGAGTCTACTTGGTTCAGACCATCTTCTCTGCTCTGGTTCAGAGTGAAATTCTGGATGCCAATATGTTTTGAGCTTTGGGACTGTTTTTCATGATATTTATCGAATTCTTGTTTCACTTCTTGTATTTGCTTTTGTAGAGTGTCGCTGTTGATGTTTTCCATTTGCTGTAGATTCAGTTTCAGAGTAAAATTCTGAATGATTTATTAGCATTTCCCACAAAAAAAGTTTGAATTCCGGGTCTTGGATTTCCGCTTGATCTGCTTGGTTAGGACCGTCCTCTCTGCTCTGGTCCGGATCAGTGTAAAACCATGAACAAAATCCAGAAAAATGACGATTGAATACACAAAACACCAACAGTTTCAGAGCGACTTTCGCAGTTTCCAGTAAATATGTGGTAAAGCATAGTCTATTTCTTTAATTTCCTGCCGTTAAAGCTGCAATTAAAACAGGATCAACAGCAGAACCGCTCTATACAATGTACTTTTGGAGGCAAAGGGACTGAAAAAAGTACATTCAGAAGCCGCTATTGAAAAGCAGGTATTTCTCAAACACAGGCACTCAGAGAAGCGGCAGCCCGAAGGCGGCCAGCGCGGTTAGAATACGGTAAAGCCGACATTGTGTGCGCTCCTGGATGACAGCGGTGTATATTTAGTGGCGGCCCACATGTGCACAGATGTGGATCCTCTCAGATGGATCCGGGGACGCTCTTAAAGCCGTGAATGTGATCGTTTATGTTGTCGTTAACACAGAGCCCGTAATCCAGCCGTTCCCATTCAGCCACACCTCCAAATCTGCAGATTACGGCCTCAATTATGTTCCATTTTTAAACTCGGGCGCGTTTCCAAGTCGTCAAACCACACGTGTGCAGTACTCTCATCGTCTCGTTGGCTTTTTACAGGACAGAGTTTTTATCAGCTCCAGCCGTTATAACTTCTGGAACAAATGAAAAAAAAAATATCCCCACTGGAATCTATGAAGCATTCTTATGTCAATAAAAAGGCTGGGAAATGGCAAAAATATGACGAGTTGATAGAATTGCGATATTTGGGCCACAATTCAATATTATCGCGATTCTTAACATATCACGATACAGACAGTTACTGTGAGTTATTGTGAGTTATTATGAGTTATTACACGGCTCCTCACAGCAGCAGGAGAACGCTCCATTGATTTGAATGTAATTTAAAAACGTTCTACCGGTCATTATTTTCTATAACGGACCTCTCAAAACAATAATGACCGGCCACTCCGGAGCTAGCCACGCTCAATAAACTCAAATACCAATCAATAAACACACTTAAATGTTAATCGGAGACCAGAGAGAGACCAGAGAGAGACCAGAGAGAGACCAGAGAGAGACCAGAGAGAGACCAGAGAGAGACCAGAGAGAGACCAGAGAGAGACCAGAGAGAGGCCAGAGAGAGGCCAGAGAGAGAGACCAGAGAGAGACCAGAGAGAGACCAGAGAGAGACCAGAGAGAGGCCAGAGAGAGGCCAGAGAGAGGCCAGAGAGAGGCCAGAGAGAGGCCAGAGAGAGACCAGAGAGAGACCAGAGAGAGACCAGAGAGAGGCCAGAGAGAGGCCAGAGAGAGGCCAGAGAGAGGCCAGAGAGAGACCAGAGAGAGAGACCAGAGAGAGACCAGAGAGAGGCCAGAGAGAGACCAGAGAGAGACCAGAGAGAGGCCAGAGAGAGACCAGAGAGAGGCCAGAGAGAGACCAGAGAGAGACCAGAGAGAGACCAGAGAGAGACCAGAGAGAGGCCAGAGAGAGGCCAGAGAGAGGCCAGAGAGAGGCCAGAGAGAGGCCAGAGAGAGAGATCAGAGAAAGACCAGAGAGAGATAGCTGCAGTTGTGTTGTTGTTGTGTTGCAGTTGTGTTGTCGGGTGGATACAGTTTGTGTAAACCCAGACACCGTGAAAGAACCTCTTCGTCCTCCTCTTCCTCTGGTCACGCTCACATCACCTCGGTCTCACTCGGACAAAAACACACACTTTGGTGCAAAATGGAGAGAGCTGCGGGAATAAAAACAAATTCAAAACTCCACAACACACTCACAGGAGTCGAGTCTTTCACAAATCAGATGGTCAAAACTGCTCAGGCCCTGTTTAGACGGAGACGCTGCAGCAGTAAAACGCTATAGTTGGATGTAGGTTGCTAACCCCCGTTCACATGGAGACTGTTCCTGGTGAAAACGTGAAGCCTAGTGTGTAGTCGCGCAGAGCTTACGGTGGGGGGCAAGGATCACCGCAAGGCCCTGACGTAGCCTGCCGCGCACCCTCAAAAATGTCTAACAACGCGCCCGCTGCCACAGAGAAGCTCCACTGTGTTTGGTCCATGTGTGATTACTTTCTGGGAAGCATGAAGCGGCTGCAGGAGCATGGATGAGGCACTTTCGGAGCAGACTGCTTCATGCTTCGAAGGAACCAAAGGAAAAGCAGTTTGGGCTCATGACAGAGCCTGATATACAAGAGACTGTGGACTGCTCAGTTCTGTTGCATATCTAACTTATATATAACTTATATCTAACATACGTATTTACCACTTACTGTTTTGCTGCTTGTGCTGAGTAGAATTTAATAATAACTATGTTTCCAGCACATAAACCTACAGTAGAAACACATGTTATGATCTTAAACAGCTCGGTTTGTTCATGTTTTTGTTCTAAAGAGGAGAAAATAGCGTGAATGGGACCGCTTTGGTTTCTTAGGTAACTCCTGTGAGATCGCCATCATGTGGTTGGGTGCGAGAATGAAACCACTCAAAGCTCTTGGTTCAGTTTCCATTTTCGCAGCTGTTGTTAAATGCAGAATGAGGTTGGTTCATTCTTTCATGTCTTGCAGAGGAAGTGAGTACACTGCTGGGGGGGGCTGGGGGTCGCTTGTGTCGTGTCGTAAAGTTACACTGCCCCCTTCTGGCCGGGCGCTAGAACTACATAGTTTTTGCTCCTCGTATGAAAGCTGTGAAATTTGCATTTGGAGCCTGGTCGTTTCTGTTCATGGCCTAAAAGCAAGTGAGAAACCTCATTGATTCAAAAGGCAATCTACCAAATGGTTGAGGAAACGTTTAAAGGGTTAGCACGTATATTTTTGCTTATTACCACATCCCAAATCACACTTGTTCCCTTCACCTCCATGTTTCGGGCTCCCCTCCCTCGCTCACTCTTGTGTTGGTTGTGATGGAGAGGCGGCCATGTTGGAATGGTTTCGGTGACCCTCGGAGCCCTCGTCTCCACGCTACCGCATACATTAGCATAAAGAGCATCGCTAACAATTCACCCGACTGCTGCGCTTTCATATGCTAAGTATTTTGGGTTCATTTCATTTCCAGCGGAAGGTTGTAGCAGTGCAATACTAAGGACCTCGGATTGGATGAATAGCAACAGGGAGATCTCTCTCTGGTCTCTCTCTCTTTCTCTATCTCTCTCTCTCTCGTGTCCCTCTGGTCTCTTTCTGGTCTCTCTCTTTCTCTATCTCTCTCTCTTGTGTCTCTCTGGTCTCTTTCTGGTCTCTCTCTTTCTCTATCTCTCTCTCTTGTGTCTCTCTGGTCTCTTTCTGGTCTCTCTCTTTCTCTATCTCTCTCTCTTGTGTCTCTCTGGTTTCTCTCTGGTCTCTCTCTTTCTCTATATCTCTCTCTTGTGTCTCTCTGGTTTCTCTCTGGTCTGTCTGGTCGCTATTTCTGGTCTTTCCCTCTCTTCTCTCTCTCTCTCTCTAGTTTCTCTCTCTGGTCTCTCTCTGGTCTCCCTCTGGTCTCCCTCTGGTCCGTCTGGTCCCTATTTCTGGTCTTTCTCTCTCTGGTCTCTCTCTCTCTCTCTCTCTCTCTCTATGGTCTCTTTCTCTGGTTTCTCTCTCTGGTCTCTCTCTCTAATCATAAAAGTAAAAGTTTTAGGATTAGAAAAGGCCACAAATGTTGCGTTTCATCGACCAAACTCTCTCTCGCTCTCTCTCACTCTCTGTCTCTCTCTCTCTCAATCTCTCTCTCTCTGTCTCTCGCCCTCTCTCTCTTTCTCTCTGTTGCTCTCTCTCTCTGTCTCGCTCTTGCTCTCTCTCTGTGTCTCTCTCTCGCTCTCTTTCCCACCCTCTCTCGCTCCCTCTCCCGCCCTCTCTCTCCCCTCTCTCTCCCCTCTCTCTCCCCTCTCCCTCCCTCTCCCTCCCTCTCCCTCCCTCTCTCTCCCCTCTCCCTCCCTCTCCCTCTCCCTCTCTCTCCCTCCCTCTCTCTCTCCTCCTCATCGTTGGCCTCTGCACCTCCTGCTGTGAGTGTGATGTCGTCTGGATGTGTTTTTTCTCCTCCGTCTTTGATTCTACACAAACATGTTTAGGTTCAGACGTCATGTTGTGTGGAGCGTGGCGTTAGAGACGTGGAAGCGCGGAATTTCAGAGAGCGGGGCGTATCCAAAGGTCATGTGGGAGAGGAAGCATGAAGCAGACGTTAAAACTCATGTTTGTTTATGGATGAAGATGAACTTTCTTGCTCTCTCTCTCTCTGGTCTCTCTCTCGGTGGCCCTCTCTCAGTTCTTTCTATGCTCTCTCTGGTCTCTCTATCTTGTCTCTCGCTCTCTGGCCTCTCTCTCTCTC